CAGAAATAATATATGAAATTATGTAGTATTAAGAGGAACTGAAAAGAAGAAAGGAAGCAATGCCTTGCGAAAGAAGTAGAACAGCAAAACTGGTAATTGAATCGTGAACGTATCGAGGATGGGACAGAAGCGGAAGAACGAAAGATCTAGAAGTTTCACCGGGAAAAATTAGGAAAACTTCAACGCAAGAAGATGTCCAGAACGGTTGAGTTAGGAGTACATAGGAAATAGGTTTTTTTTACTGTTTGATGCGTCAGGTTTGAGATAAAACAGCAGTGACTAATGCATTTCCATTCTATTTTCCACCTACTCTCAACCCAGTCGCTCAACTGATTTTGTCATGTATTCAAAAGTGCATGCGATCATCATAAACGACCAAATGTTTAGTAAGTACTTACAATACCCATCTCATCTGATTTGAATATCGGAAAAAAAGAAGCCAGTTCATAAAGAAAAAAGCGATTGTTGCGGAATAGAGACACTCAAAACAAACTCTAATTGGAATCTAGCGGTAAACTATTGGACTGATTACTCACTACCTGCTTTTGTCAGCACAATATTTTCCCTATCTTTGATTTCAGCTTATCAAGGCAAACGAAAAAACAAGTGAGTGTGGTATTACTTTCTTCAAGTTGTAACTAAAAAAACCCAGCATGGTATCTGTGCAATGCTCTTTTCTCGCAACGCCAGGAAGTCTTAGACTTTGTCACTCTTACCGAAATAAAACAAAAATTTTGTTGCTGCTTCCGCCTAATCCAAACGCTTTGAAGTCCTCTACTACAAAACTGAAGAAATCGTTTGTTAAAACCAGTGTCGAAGAAGGAGATGAGTCGTGCTGTGGACAACATGTTTTTCTGGAAAGGTTGAAGGCCTGTCAACAAAATTGTTATCACATTTTGCATCGAAAAATTGTAGAAAATTGATTCTCGGCTCTGAATCGATATATTTCCTGTAAATTCGAAATTGGGTGTGGTTATGGTAAAGAACGCATTGGAAGTTCATCACAGTGTTCATCTTATATCGCGAAAAAGACAGAAAGTGTAAAACCAATTAAATGGGATTAAGATGCAGCCAAGGATTCTTTCGCATTTGTCTTCACTAGTAATGCTTCACATTTCATTTTCAAAATTCTAAAAAATGCTACAGATAATATCAAAAAATGCAAACCGCAAGAAACTGAAGAAGAACCTTTTAGCACGAACCTTGTGGTAGTGATAGTAGTTAACTCTTGGATAGTTGTCGTCTCAGAGACCACAGACTCGGCCAAACGTGTGGAAGCACGACTGTCAATTAGTGGACCACGATACGTCGACGGCACTGTAGTGATAGGCACCGAATGGACCGGACTTATGGATTCGCCGCCAATGTACGCAATCCGAACTGAACATGCCCAACTTATATACGAATAAATTATGCAAATCTATGTCAGAATGCAAGTGACGATTAGTTTGGAACGCTAAGCTGAGAAACGGGTACTCTCGTTTGTGAGTGTGTTGGATATAGAGTCACACAATTATTAACATAATCCTCTAAAGATTAGAGTAAAATGAGTCAAGACAAATGATCTTTGGACACCTTTTTTCTTTTACCACAGCGTGGTTTATAAGTCACAGTCGGAAAGCGGGAAATGCCAGCGAGGTAAACGCCATCGCGCCTATGTAGGCTGTAACACTAGGTACAGCCGAGTCTGCGACCAGAATTGAGTACACCATACGTCAAGAGTTCCCTCTTGTTAGGTAATCCCACCTCGGCACTTCCCTTTCGTCCACTTTCACTGTTCAAAGGACGTAATTTATACCTTTTAAAAGCCCTCTTCCCACAACCATAAGGTAATCTACCATTTCCCGGTTCGCTATGTAACTTCATGCAATGGGATTACAAATTCGTAAGAACCCAATAACCGAGAAGGGTCAATTCTATCAACTCCCAGAAAAATTCCTTGTCAAATGAAGGCTTGACAAGGCAGAACGGAGCCTATATAAATAACAAACATTGCAAACAACGCCATATCTACCTGGGAACTCAGTTTCTTGCCTTCCACGCGCATTCACACGTTCCACAGATTCCGGACTCGAGAACGATTTCTGGTTGAGACGTTGGTCAGTAATAT